GAGGTTTTGATTTAGTGACAACAGTGACTTAACCATCTCTAGAATGCATTTTATGTTTCTACCTCTGGCCAGGTATGGTTGAAAACTATTAAAGCTGAGTACCACTGACCTGGCAATCAAACTTTAAGTTAATTGTGATTAATGATCCCCCCCATCCCTGATCAGGCTTCAGAATGTTTTGGGTATATATTAACTGGGGCTAACTTTAGGAATTGAGTTGAGTTGAAAGTAATGTGGGAGTTTTTGTTGTTGTTGGGTTTTTTTGGTTTTTGCTTGTTTTTTTGAGATAAGGTCTCACTTTGAAGCCCAGCCTGATCTCAAATTTTGATCCTGCAGGAGTGCATCACTGTGCCCAGCTCTAGGTAAGAGTCACACTAATGGTTGGCAAAGACAGAGACAGAGTCTGAGGCACCTGAGTTGAAGGGACAACCTCTGTCCTTTCCCCGAGTGTCTGCGCTCTGCTCAGCAGTAGCCAGGCCTGGCACACAGGTGCTCAGAAAGTGTCACGTCCTGCCATGGAGCAGTGGGACAGAGAACACCCAAAGGCGGTTAGATCCAGAGGGGTGGGGAAGGCTTTGTAATTTTTTGATGATTTCTAACAATTCCATTGTGATCAGGGAACATAGGCTATGTGGGTTCCAATCTTTGAAATTTGTTGAAATTAATTCATGGTCAAGCATGTAATAAATTTTTGAAATGATTTTTATGCATCTGAAAAGGATGTAGTGTGCAGATGGTGAAGACCATGTCACATTTTTGGTCGTTTAGGTCATTTGTCCATCCTGTTGTACAAAGAGTCAACATCCAAGTTTGTTGTTGTTTTGTGGGACTAGAGATTGAAGTCAGTGCCCTACGTGAGTGCAGAACCACTGCACTGGATCATTTCCCCACCCTTGAGAGAAACGGGTCTCACTATGTAGTCCAGGCTGCTCCTTGAACTCACAGGCCTCTTGCCTTAGCAAGGACATTTACAGGTATGTCCCACTGTGGGGATCTTCTTCCCAGTCCTTTTAATTTTTGATATAAGGTCTTGTGACGTTGCCTAGGTTGGCCATAATGAACTTCTGATTCTTCTGGCTCAGCCTCCTGAGTAACTAGGAATGCCGGTGTATGCCTCCTTGCTGAGTCATGGTTTATTTTTTTGTTTGTTTTTTGTTTTTTTTTAGTGGACCTAATTAGGCCAGACTCCGAATGACACAGAATAAGAGTGCTTTAAAGTCTGGATGTTGAGGCAGTTTTGTTACTTAACATTATTGAGGCAATAAGCAGCTGATGCACACCTAGATTATGACTGTGAAAAACCCTGCAGGAAAATGAATGACATCCTGGGCTTGACCACGTGGTAGAGTAGTTTAGGGGGCCTGAGGTTCCCAGAGCTTCCTGGAAACCAGTGGGAGAATAATTCTGGAATCCAAAGCCCTCATGGCGATGCTGTCTTGCTTGGTCTCTGGGTTGGAGGCAGCTGGAAAAGCAGGGACTTCTGGCAGCCCTGATGACACCTCTGACCTGGGACCCCACAGACCTGGACTGTTACTAGCTGCATGTCTCTACATGCCTATTTTGTGTTTTTGTGATAACAACATGCCAAAATACTCTTCAAATCTATTTTTTGTCTTTGAAACAGGCTCTCACTATGCAGTTCAGGCTAGCCTTGAGCCCACTTTGTAGCTCAAACTGGCCTCGAACTCATTAGTCCTCCTGTTTCAGCCTCCTGTGATTCAGTGCTGGGATTACAGCCATGTGCCACCACACTCGGTCTAAATCTACTCTTTATATCCATCAAAATTGTCTAGAACTCTCCTGTGTGACTTTCCCACAATTACCCATCTTCCCACAGGATGTTTGGACAGTTGCTAGTCAGCTGTTATCAATAGTGCCCTCTTGTGCATCTTGTCTTCATACTTTAGTGAGCTCTTGTACACATTTTTGGTTTTTACGTGTCTTGGAGTGAATTGTCAGGTACGGTTCCATTAGGCTATTTACCATTTGCCAACTTGGTCTACCATGGAAAGTTATTTCATTGCTGGGACTTTGTTTTGAGGGGGTTATCGGGCATTGAACTCAGGACCTTGTGCTTGCCAGGCAGGTACCACGCTGCTGAGTTAAACCCCCAGCCCTTGGACCTCATTTCTTTTTTTTTTTTTTTGTACCAGGGGTGGAACTCTCGACCTTGCGCTTACCAGGCAGGCATTTGTACCACTGAGCTAAACCCCTAGCACAGAACTTACTTTTTAAGCTGTATGTTGGAAATAAACATACTTGTCCATCTCTCCCCCAGCGTTGCAACCAGGACTTAATAACAGCAAGACACATGTCCCCTGCAACTCCTCTGGCTCTGTGTTTCTTTTAGCCCAGGATGCAAGTTTTCCACGAGCCTTCTCCTGCTGTTAATTCTCACCATGACCTTGGCAAGCCTGCCCTTCCCCAGTCACCCCTTTGTGACTCAGGTACCAAGGCAGCCTCAGGCCTATTGGGTGACAGTGAGCCTAGGAGAACCAACCCATAGCAACAGGGAGCACTGTCAGTCTGATTTCTATCACCCTGTAGCAATAGCCTCATATTGAGGATTCTTAAGGTATTATCCAGACTCAGAAAGAGCGATGATCAACTAATTATGTCTGTTGTGTGCATGGGAGATGTCAGTGGTGGCACACAGTATTTACCTCTGACTCAAAGGTGTTGGCTTTTATGGGCCGGAAGGGACATCTATTTCATGAGTTAAATAGAATGGTTTTTAAGTAGACAAGTCTTGTTCCATTGTATCATATATTTGGATTTATTTCTAGTATTTAATTTGGTACTTGCTTTTTATTCCCTTTTTGTTGAATTTATAAAGGTTTTCTGGGATGTGATCTCTTTTGCCTAGTTTAGAAAATATAAAATGTTTTGTCTTAGAAACTATTTAAAATTTTTATTGTACATTTTTTTTTATTGTACATACTTGTTACTGTCCTGAACAGTACCCTTCCTTGCCTGTTTTGTTTTGATCTAGAAGGTGAGGTCTTGCTGTGTTGCCGCAGCTAGACTGAGACTTGTGGGCTTTAAGTGACTTTTCTGTCTGGAGCTTCCTGAATTGCTAAGACCACAGGTGCCATCATGGCCAGTGAGAAGTGTATTTTGGGGGTGTGTCTGTGTGCAGGTATATGTATGCTATTGATTGAACCCAGGGCCTTCACATTGAGGTGCATCTCTAGCCCCTTTTTATTTTTCAGTTTTTGATTTCACGGCAGGGTCTTGCTAAGTCACTGATTGGGCATGCTCTAACTTGTCATCCTCCTGACTGCCTCCCAGGTGCTGGGATTACAGTGTACACCACCGTGCCTGGTTGTACAGTCACTTTAGATATACAGGAAGTTTGCAAAGGTGCAAGAGTACCATAGATGCTTTACCCAGCTTCTAACATTCACATCTTACAAGTGATTGTACACTTAGCAAAACTAGGAAAATAACACGAGTACAATAAAATTCCAGACTTTATTTGTATTTCAACAGTTTTTCCACTCACATCTTTTTCTGTGCCAGCATCCACTCCAAGATACTACATTGCATTTATATATATTTGAAACTTCAAATATATGTAAAAGTAGCGGGTTGGGGAGTAAAGTGTGTGGTTCAATTCTCAGCACCTACATAAATAAATAAATGTATACAGAATAGTAAAAGAAAAACTTACATACAAGTAGAAGGAATAATAAAAGGGGCTAGGGATTTAGCTCAGCGGCATAAGCACCTGCCTTGGAAGCAGGCAGTCGTGAGTTCAATCCCCGGTACCGATAAAAATGAAAAAGTCCAAAAAAAAAAAAAGAAGGAATAATAAAATCTGTTCATCAATCTTCAAAAGTGATTAAATGACCAGTTTGTTTTGTTCATAGCCCAAACTGATGAATTTCTCCTTTTCCTGGTCTTGCTAGCTTACAGTTGACAGATGTATACCTTCCGGATGCCTTGATTTCCCTTGCTTCCTGTATACAGTTCTCCAGTTTTAAGTTAAGGAAGTCCTACGGTCTATACATAGCCCCCCTCTCCCCCAGCATTAACTTTATTAAAGCAGTTGAAGGGACAAGGGTGGGATGGTGGCAAAATTATAAATATCTTTAGCATTTAAAGATTGTTTTGCTGAAAATCTTAGGGAGGACTTAAGTCTTCCATCTGTTATTTTTAAGAATATGCTTCTTTGATTTCATGACCAGATTAACACATTTGCATATGTTTCCATGTAAAGGTCAAGGTCTCTTTCCTGTCCCACAGTTACCTCAGTGTCCTCCCTAATGGCAGCTGTGGCAGTTTCTAGGAAGAGGTCAGAGCACTCCTTGTAAGGATCAGATGACAAACAGACAAGGCATAGTGGGCAGAGCTGTTCTGGTGTATCCCAGGAATGCAATAGCATGCAAATCATAGCATGTGCAGAGATACATATTCATGTCTTCTCCCTGAACCCTGTAGGAATGGTGGCTATTCAGGGGACTGCTCTAGACTTGGCTTTATCAGTTAAACGGTGGCAAGCTGTCCATCCCACTTACCTGCCAAATCCAGCCTGCCACCTGTTTCTGTGCCTAGTCTCGCTGGAAGCTACATTCTGTCGTTTACGTGTTATCTGACTGCTTTCCTGCTACAGAGCTGAGGAGTCACACAGTGACAGTGACTGGCAAAGCCTGAAGTCCTTACTGTCTGCTCCTTTGTAGAACAGGTTTGCCGGCCTCCAGGTTAAAGGTTATGTCCTTTCCTTGTAAAGCTGCTCCACAATTCACGTAGGCCCTCTGAGTGGATATCTGGATCAGACCTTTATACTTACCTTATTTTCTGCATGTGTATATTTATAGGATACAGTCCTAGAAGTGGCATTGCTCACTGAAAGCTTACGTATAACTATTGTCAAGCTGCCCTCCGTGGAGGCTGGGGCTACTTGTAAGTTTTTGATGTCTACCATTCTACTAGGTGATGGGAGAGAAAGGCACCTGGGTAGCTGACTTCATATGCCTTTTATTTTGATGTGCAGCATATCTCTCTGTGGCTTTGTGAGACTCCTTCCTGCTGGTGGTTTACTTTCCTGGTCTGAAGATCTTCTGGAGGTTGTTCTCCTTTCTCTCTGACTCTCCTGCGTCACTTTCACAAACAAGCTTTTGGGGAACAAAAGTCTTAAGGACAAACTTAGGGTGGCTATCAGCGTCATCAGCATTCCAGATATCAGAGGTGGGAGGGGAGGAGGTGACCCACAGGGCTTCAGCTTTCTGCTCTGAACTGAGAAGCGTCACCAGTGGGTTTGTGCTGCCCTCTTCCTCCACGGGGCTTCTGTTGGCACAGGCAGCCTCGTGTTCCTCCAGCTTTTTGATGGGGACGACGTGGCAGGCATTGTATTTGCAGCTGGCCATTTTCTTGGCTTTCGTGGGGTTTTTTCTCTTGCACGATGCCAGGTGGTACTGGAATCTGCTGAGTGGAATTCGGTGGTGAGGGTTGTAAGGACAAATTTCTAAGACCTCTGGCTCCATGAGAAGTCCTTGAAATTGAGGATCCCAGTGCCCAGAGTCTAAAGAAAACGTAGCTCTCAGTAGAGCGTTTTTGTAAGAAGATGGAGCTGTTCTCTACCCAGTGGTGTCCTTGGAACTCTGCTGGCTCTGTGTCTGAGACACCTACGGGAGGACAAAGTTAGCAAATCGTGCACCAGGCGGAAGAGCAAAACCCCACAGCAGCCACGCTGGGAGGTGGAAAGGTATGTGGCGCCCTTGGCTCTGAGGGAAAGGATACACTGTGATGTCAGCAAACAGTCGTGGTCACAATGGGCTGCTTGCATCACCAAGTAAAGGCCCTTGCTCCTGTCTTGTGTGTGAGCGGAGCGAGGGGCTTTGGGGAAAGATGCTATTTAAAATATTCATGGCATCTATGTTGTCAATTCCGTCTTCTAGCTGACTGTATTAGTATAATAAAACTTACATCTTTTTTGTGTGCTGTTCTTTGGCTGATTTTATTCCCCCTTTCTTGCCTTATTTTTGGTGGTGTTGAGAACCAAACCCAGGGCTTTGTGGATGGTTGGCAAACTCTGGCACCAACGTACATTCCCAGGTTGCTTGTCTTATTTTAGAAAAGATAGTTTTAAAGCATTGCTTTATTTCCCTCTACTACTTTGCACAATTTCATGTGGTTTAATGATTGTAGATTAAAACATTCATAGATAATATATCAAAGTTTAGTGTTAATATTTTATCTACTTTCTGGGTAATGTGGGCATTTCTTTCATTTCACCCCTAGGTCTTTCTGTATTTTAAATTTAATTAGAAAATTCTCACCAGGTGTTAATGCTGTTGTCATAATGTGAACATTTATTTGCATTTGTTCTCATATTTAGTCCTTTCTTTGCTGTTCTGTTTTTCTGCGTGTCTCAGACCTACCATATAGGATCACTATTCTTCTGCTTGAAGTTTTACATTCGTCTGCTTGCCTGTCTGTCTGTCTATCGGGATAGTGTCTTACTGTGTAGTTGAGGCTGGCTTTGAGCTCCCTGTGTAGCATAGGCTGGCCTCAAACTCATGGCGATCCTCCTGCCTCAGCCTCCCCAGTGTTGGGATTATAGGCATGTGCCATCATGCCCAGCTTCGTTTATCTCTGAGACAAGATCTTGCATATTGGCCAGACTGGCCTCAAACTCCTAGGTTTAAGCAGTCTTTCTGCTTCAGCCTCTGGAGCTAGAATCAGAGGCATGTCCCACATACTGGACCTGAATGAAGTCTTTTAGAAATCTCTCGACAAGCTTTTCAGGGTCTTTTTGCCTGAAAGTGTCCTTGTTTCCCCTTCTTTCTGAAAGGCATGTTCACTGGGGGTAGCTGTTGTTTCTTCTTGCTGTCACTGTTGTGGACAAGAGTTCAGCTGCCTGCTGTCGTCCACCTCCCTTGGAAGGTCATCTGGTTCTTTGTGTTCCTCATGGTTGCTGCTCAGGACCTCACACACAGGAGACAAACACTGCAGCTGAACCAGTCCTCAGCCCCAGGCTGTGCCCAGGCGCTGTGTGTGGCTTAGGGACAAGCGTGTGGCCCCCAGGCTGGTCTGTCTTTACCCTGCTGCTCTGTGTGGCCCCAAGGTAGCCTTTTATGGTCTCCTTGGAGTGGGAGGAAGGATTTAGATCTGTCCCCGGATCCCTGCAAGTGGAGCCCTTTCATGTTCCAATTAAGCATGGAAACATTTCCTCTAAGATTCCTCAGACTGTGTGGTTCCGCTTGCGTCTCCTTTTCCTCACAAAGACTGAACCAAAGTCTAATCCGTAATATTTGCAAATATCTCAGAGGGTTTTGACCCTCTGACATTCTGCTTACCTCTCTGGTTTTATGTTTTCATCTAAAAGTTTTGTTTTTTTTCCTTTTATTTTAAAGAGAATAAAATGATACACATTATTTTAAAGAGAATTAAACGATACAAATTATACAGTCACCCAAAATGAACATGAACCAAACAAAAGAATAAAACCGTCCAAAACAGAACAGTGAAAGTGACACAGGACTTCAAAGCAGGATAGTAGGACATCGATAATTGCTACCATAATGCCTCTTGTTATCTTCAGAGTTGCTGCCCACACAGTCAGGCATAACAAAATCAAACTAAACAATAACAATAGAACCAAACCAAACACCGAATAAAACAAAACAATAAAATGGAGCCAAACAAACGATTCCAAAAACAAAACAGAAGGAAATCCCTCCTACTTGCTATGCTGCATATTGTTATCCTCTAAATAGATGCTCAGACTGTTAGGCCTGCAAAGTTAATCAACAAAACAAGCATTAAGTTGTTTTTGCAGGCCGTTGCTATCAGCTCAATCTGTTCCTCTGGATCAGTCAGTTGCTTCAGGGTGGGGTTGGGGGGCTCTGCTCTTATCTCCCAGCCCACCTGCTGGGGCTCATGAGAAGAGCAAATTGGCCTTGATTTTCCAATGGTTAGACTACTGTTTTTGAATATCCCTGAATGAGCAGATTTAAAATGATGAATAAATATAGTCTCCCTAAATGTTCCAGGTAGGCATCAGAGCAATATGACAGGCAGATCCATGTTGTATAGTTATCCCTGGTGTGTGCTCAGGCCAGGCAAACAGGTCAGGTGACAAAACTCCAGGCTTAAAGCCACAGAGGTTTCTGTCTCCCTGTCCAGAGCAGCGTCTGGTGGACCTGCTCGCTGTGGTCAAGGGAACCCAGGCTGATGGAGCCTCTGCCGTGATGCATGCTGTGCCTTCTAGGAAGAAGAGTGGCCGCAGTGGGTTGTGCACTGGCTTTTAAAGCTGCTGCCAGGACCTCTCTCCCACTGGCATCTCAGAGTTGAAAGTAAGTCCTGTGGCCACACCTCACTTCAGGAGTCCAGCAGGTACCATCTTGCCCCGTGCCCAGAAGGGGCAGAGTGGTAACTTTGTCAAGAGCCCCCAAGGACTTCTCTGGTCTGCTTATCACCTGTATCCATTTCTCTTTTCTCCACACATAGAACAAACTGCCCAAGTCCCTGTGCAGAATTAGGGGTAGAGCTGGGTCACTGCTCATGGTGGTGGCTTCTAAAGATCAGCAGGGTCTTGTCCCAGAGCGATGGGGTTTTAATGCCCCCTGTGCAGCTGTCTCCCGAGGGAAAGCTGGTTTGCTCTGCAGGGGAGGTGGCCTTGAGAACTTGTAACTTGCAACCATCCATGTGCCGGTGCCCATTCCCTGCAAGCCTGTGACTCAGTACTACAGGAACCACGGCGTCAGCCTACTGGGAGCCCATGGGTAGCAATGCATCTGCTCTTCATCCGACACCCCTGGGGCCTTGTATTCCCTGTGCCACAGCCTTACTTGTGGTCTTGATAAGGGCAGCCCAGGATAGAGTCCTCGGGCCCTGCACGTCTGCACGTGAAAGCACTTTGTTCACCATGAGCATCGTCATGAGTAATGGGGCATCATTTACTTCAGGGTGCTTTGTGGCTGAGCACCCATTAGTCAGCAGGGGCACATTAAATCCATTATAAGACAGAAAGAAAGAGAAGAGAAAGAGAAAACAGAACACTGAATGGTCCTCAAGCCATAGCCTGCTCCAGCATCTGCTCTCAGCCTCGGACCTGACAGATCGCTCACCATGACAACCCTGAGGGAGCGAGGGATGCACTCACCTATCTGGACCAAGCTTTTCTGCCCTCCCTGCATGGATGTGGCCAATAATGCCAGTGAGACTGGATCTGCTTTCCTATCGTCCCTCCTTCCCTGATCTCCATCTCAAGAGATGCTGCCACAGATGGTAATGTAGGCAATAGAGGGGAAAATCGCAGGGTGTGCAGGGTCTTTTTGTTTTCTGAAAATGAACATTTGTTTGTCCCAGTCAGCCAAGTCTGCAGTTACTGTTACGGGATAGAGCCGTTGGCAGGTTTGAATCATTATGAATCTGAATTCTTGAGGCTGGGAGAAAGTTCGATGTCATCAAGGCCAGCTTCTCTCTCAGTGCTAGTGTCACCCCCAGAGCATCCCTGGACGGTGGGGATGCAGCCAGATGGAGCTCATTACCTCTCCAGATGGTCCGAGGGTTAGGTCTTACAGGGGGTCAATCTGTCTCATGCAAAGCGGCAGTTAGTGTTGACACCGCACCCTGGTGGCAGGAACTTCCTCCTGAATGTAAGGAAACCTGAGCGTGATAACGGCCGTGAAGGTTCCTGTCGCCCTACTTTCGCTGCCACACCCAGGAGACGGGTGTGGCCAGCAGAGGCTGAGCACAGGCCGGGGGCTTTGTCAAGATGCCCACGGCTGCCGCTGCTTCTTGCTAAGGCTTCCCGGCCTCAGTGACCTGGGCTCTTGCTGGTCATTTTGATTTGAGGATCTTATTTTCCAAACTCTCTCTGTGGCCTTACTTCACTGCCCCGCATGGTGCTTCTCAAACTCTGCCATGCACACCAGTCACCTGGGGTCTTGTTAAATTGCCCAACATGGTGACACAGAGCTACCTTTGGCAAATTAGGTATCAAGGCTGTGCTGGGTTTGTAAGATGAACTAGAACACAGTCTGTGTTTTTTGTTTTGTTTGCTATGAAGTTTTGAAAGTCTGCGAGAACTCACCCACTATTCTGATCTGTACCAGTTTTGAAAACGGTTCTATAGCAGCTTTAAAATTGATTCCAATTGTTTCTCAGGCTTTTGGTTACGGTCAAGATCAATCACTATTTCTCTTAGACATTCCCATTTTGGCCAGGAGTGGTGACGTACACCTGTAATCCTAGCACCTGGGAAGCTGAGGCAGGAGGTTCACTGGAAGATCAAGGCCAGCCAGGACTACACAGTGAGACCCTGTCTCAAAGAAACAAAAGCAGAAGCAGAAATTCCCATTTTTTTGGAGAAGCACCCTGTGTGCCCTCATCGAGGCCCTAATGTGTTCAAGCCCTGCCCGTCAGGGTGATAGCATATGAACACAGCAGCTCGAAGGAGAGAAAGTTAAATGAGGTTTTAAGAACGGGACCCTAAACAGGACCAGTGTCCTTTGAGGGAAGAGCAAGAGACACCTCCCTCGTGCACAGAGGAAAGGCGTGTGAGGAAACACCGGAGGCTGGCGTCTGGACCCTGCTGGCACCTTGATCTTGGGCTCAGCATCCAGAACTGTGAGAAAACACCCTTGTGTGTTGTGGTATTTTCTGAGGGCAGCCTGAGCTAAGACAGATTTGCCATTGACCTCTCCAAATGAAATAGCATCTCACATGCATTTAGCGTTCGCTCTTAAATGGCAGACTGTCCTCTGGCTTTGCCTTCACCTA